AATAATGAAGGAATGTTTCCTTTTAATAAAATTGTTTTATTCTAATTTTTCTTCTACACTTCTCAAGAAATTGTTTGCTGCAAATTGTTGAGTTCTTTGGATTCCAACCAACCAGTCCAATTAACGTTAAACATATTTGCTAATTATAGAATCCGGAGGGAATCTGTTTGACAAAAGGCAAAATAAAATTACATTTTAAAACGCAAACCGAGGATTTATTTTCTTGTTGTGTGCGCAAGTCTATCGATTTATTATAAACATTCAAGATAAATATCGACATTAATTTATAATTTCAACTATATCAGTTGAGTCAATCCCTAGCGTACATGTAAAATATTTTGGTTTAAAATGTTTTTACCGAATTCATGCAAATTATCAACAACGTGACTTTTTTCTTTGCAAAATATCAAAATTTACAAAATAATTGAAAACATTCTATATTTTACACAGTATTCATAACATTGACGAAGTCTTGAGAATTTACCTGTGAGAAGTGCAATTATCAGGATTATTTCTTTTATTAACACCACAGTCACTCGCAGATTAAGGCGCATGGTTAAGCAAAATGTCCCGCTAGTCATTATTTGTGCGGTTTTTAGGAGCTATCTACTTGTTATTAAAAAGATATATCAACTTATAAAAAACACATTAAATTTCTACATAATCTTGATTCCATAATAGTCATATCCAATTTTTTTAAAACAGTAAATATTTGAATAATCTCCTTACAACGAAACCACATAAATGTGAAATAATTATTGATGACATGCGTCTCCTCGTAAAGTAAGCATTATTTTATTTTGCGATTGACACTAATGCATAGGCAATTTATTTCTGAAGATTTTGTTCGATAAAATTTTTTTAAAAGACCAAAATTTGATTTTATTAAGAAATTATTTTAAAAACTGGGCGTATTCACTACCCACGGGGTAGCTGGAGTTAGTGAGCGCTAAGCTCTTGAAGGTGAAACCCGTGTCGTTACTCACGGCGTCGGCTAGCACACATGCTCACTTACGTCATCTTATCAGTCGATAATATTATTACTTATTAGGTTAGTTATGGCTAGTATTATTTGATTGTTTTGGGTATAATTTTTGTATTAGTTATATATTTGTTGTGTTTTTTACTGCGCGATGAAGCTTTTTGCGTGTATTTTCTTTAAAGTAAATGCAAATAAAAAAATGAATCACCATTAGCATGTAAGGTTCGAATCCATAATTAACATTTCGACAAATATTATAATTTACACAATAAAAAGCTAATTCAATATTAGCAGTATAGTATAGAGTTAAAAATAATCCTATAACCTAACCACAATATCTTAGTAGGTATAGTAATTCGGTAAAAAGTATCTAAGTAGGTATTAATATAGGTACCCAGTATAACTAATCACAATAGGTACCTATGTAGGTATTATGATTAGATAAAAGGTACTTATCTAAATAGTTACCTACTTTTACTAAGTAGGTACTAATACCTACCCGGGCATCATTTAATTACAACCCAAAAACCCCCTATAACCCTTATACTTCTTGTTGATTTTTATATCATCTTTATTATAACCCTTATGTATAAATAAATAACGTATGTAGAAATAAAATTGAATAAAAATAAAAACAGACGTGTTTTTTTTTCATCCTCATCAATCATTGGGGTAAAGATAATGTCAGCCAACATAAGTAAAGCAGGCTAAGTTACAAGATGCCCAGTTCAAAAATTAGTAGGTAAAAACACATCTGCGAAACATCCTATTTACCTATAATGAGTTGGTATCTTTTAAACTCACTATTTTCAAGTGCATTGGGGTTATTACGAAAATGGGGGAAATCCGATATTTACAAATTACGGCTTAACTAGGCAATATTTTTTGCTCTGGTAACTTTATTCTAGACGACAGTTTATTTGTCTCCCTCGTCTGTCTCTCTAGTCTCAATATTGCGCGTGCAAAGTTAACTTTTCGAAGGAAACACCTTTTTTCAACTCTTTTCGGTTTTTCGGAATTACTCCGCGTTCATTATCTTAGGAATTTGCTAAGTAATCTTAATAATTGTTGGATTTTATGATAGGTAATCGTTTTTAAAGCTTTATTTTATAGGTTAGGATTAGCCAGCTATTGCTTTTGTGTTTTTTTTTTCGGAAATACCCCACAGGGTTAATTACGAATTAATGGACTATCGAACTACTTTTCCATTGTAGTTTCCAGTGGCTGTCAATCTTTCGTCAGCATAAATTGTCATTTTGGATAAGTTTAACACGTTCGCGAATTTAACCAACGGTAGTGGGCAAGGCGTACCTACCGCAATGCCAAATATTTAGTCACAGTCCAGAAGGAATAGGTGAATGAGTACCGAAAACTATTCCACATCAATTTTTTCATGCGATATCCTTCAAATTGTCGTACTGATAATATAAATGCATGTTGCCATGAAGCGACTCGGTGCCGTAGGTATTGTTTAAACTTGAATTGATATTTTCAAACGGGACTATTTTTTCATATTCTTTGTTAAAAAAAAAACGAAAAAAAAAGTTCCGTGACTTTTTATGATAAAGTTAATATCTTCTATAAATTGTTAAAGGCTTGAAAAATCCCAATTTCGGATACTTTTGACCCATTAGAAATGCATAAAGAATAAAGTATAAACAATATTATTTTAATTTCTTGGCAAAATATAAATACAAAAGGTTCTATGACATTGAGTTATATGTACTACGTACTAGAGAAGCCATTTCAAACAAAAACTGTGTCCTACTCTATGTTTTCGCGCATGCGCGGGAGTAGTAGTCGCGCATGCGCGAAGATTTTAATTTGATGTAAAATAAGATATTAATATAAAATAAATATAAGAATTTAATATAAAATATCTTAATTTCATCTAAACGAACATGTTATGTTTCTAAATAAAATGTAATAATAATTATTTTATGGAATTCACAAATCTTCAATTTACGTAATATTTAGTTTGTACGGATTGCAGTACAGTTCAGTTGAACATAGTCAATGTTCGGAATGGCTTCTCTAGTACGTAGTACATATAACTCAATGTCCTATGACGTTTTACGATAAAGTTAATATTTTCGTAGTTATGACTTTTTAAAGGTTTGAATAATCCCGAATTCGGATACTTTGACTTTTTTTTATAAGATATGGGTGAAAAACGAGCACACAGTCCACCTGATGGTAAGTGGTTGCTGCGGCCCATAGACATCTACATCTATCCTCTATTACAAATCCAAATGCAGATGCGTTTTCACCCGTGAGGACTAAGATGGAATGCCTCATTTCCAGTAAAAAGGGCTTCCGGCCACTTGCACTCACCAAGCGAAACGCAGAGGTAAACCTCTACTTCACGCTGGTATTCTGTGAGATCGTGGTACCACCCCGGTTCGAGCCGGCCCATCAGTCGACAGCAAGAGCTGCCACCTGGCTCTACCACTGTTTAAATTATATAAAGAAATGTTTAAAAAATATTTTTTTATTCTCGCTTACCTGTTATAAAAGTCTGAAGAAACCTCTTTAACTAGCCTAATAACTGTTTAACTACGGGAACGCAAGGTGCGCTACCGTGGTGGTGCCTTAAATGAAAATTATGGTGAAAATTCAAGTGAGCAAAATATAGTTAAATTAGAAACATAAAGTATGTATCAATGCTTTTTGTAGAGCGGTATAGACGAACTAAAAGTAAATCTAAACCTTCTGTTGAAAGTCAAAAAGGAACACTTTACCAAATTTTCGGTTTTACCCCGCGTTATATCGGAATTATAACTTATCCAGAAGCAAAGACACTTTATTAAGATGAATAACAAAATAATTAGGATATGTATTTCAATAAATAACAGTGACATGAGTTGATTGTAAACATTTTTAAAATAATTATTAAATATGCATCGTATCAACTAATCAGAAAATATGTCGTATTTACCCCAAAGCACCTTGCTTCATTTTCTCATGTTAGATACCTTCCCGAGCGTTCGAAATGAAGAGGTTTTTTACGTGGTAGAGCCATGCTGCAACTATATAAGTAGTATAGTTGTAGTGCGAATGGGTCGGCTCGACCGGGGAAGGACCACGCTCTCACAGAATACCAGCGTAAAATAGCAGTTTAACACTGCTGTGTTTCGTATGATGAGTGTTGAGAATCGGAGACCCTTTTAACTGGAAAAGAGGCATTCCATCTTAGTCCTCACGGGTGACAACGCGTCTGCATTATGATTCGCAAACGAGGATAAATGTAGATGTCTATGGACCACAGCAACCACTTACCATCAGGTGGACTGTGTGCTCGTTTGTCACCCTATCCTATAAAAAAAAAGGTTTCATTTTTATTAATTACATAATATATGAGAATACATAATTCACATATAATGCAACCAATATACCGAATAATAAAATGAAAATACATTTATCATTGTACACCGTGTCTATTTCTATAAAATAGTTTATTGATGTTAAAAAAATAATACTACGTTTGTACAGTAGGTGGCGTCTTGCAGATTACTTACGCGATATATTGTAGCGAGAGTCGGCGGACCGAATGCTCAAGTTCGTTCGCTAGGAGTAGCCCTTTAAGTAACCATTTTGCAAAAAAGTAACATTATAGAAATAACCACTATTACACTCTAAAAAATTACAAAATATCATAGCTATTTCTTGCGTGCCGAATTGTGCCGATCTGTCATTGTGCAAATCGGTTACAGAGTAATGAGATTTGGTATCCTTTTCTGTCCTGAATTTTTGCTATAAGGAATTTTCTTCTTCCTTGAACACTATGTAGGTCTATACCATATATATTTATCTATGGTCTATACGTCAGTCAAGACTATGACAGTAATCTATGTTTATAATTTGTGGTCTAGCTGCTGTGTCCAGCGACCCCGATTTCCGTTGCATTTTGACAAGATTTGAATTTGATGTCTATAAAGTTTAAACCTGAGTTTTTAACAGTTGGTCTATAGTAAACTTATTTCAATAAATTAAACATAATCTGTAAAAATAAACAAATATGAATGATACGGACTATGAACCTATGGACATCGATTCAAGCTCAAATTCATATACTGCTATGGAGATATCTTACAATGAAACTGTTCTTGGTGATAATGAACATCCTGAAAAAGTGGTTGAAAATAAGAATTTAACACCTACAGGTAATATTAAAAAAGAGGTAAAAAAAATTCACCTTAACATTCGGCCGCTTCGGAAAAATAACGTCTTTTATTTTTCTAATCGCTACACATTATTTTTTTTCTTTTTTGGGAGTGTAATTATCTCAATTTTAAGTTATAAAGCAGTTAATTTTAAATGTAGCTACGGCTTTAACGTGAAATTGATTAAGAAATCTTTATCGTCAAAAGTGATTGGTCAACAGGATGCAATTGAAACTTTAATTCGAGCGATGGAAGTAAATGCCAGCAGCAAGATATTGTTTTTGTATGGTGGAACTGGTGTAGGCAAATCACTGTCAATATCTATAGTACTAGATGAAATGCTAAATTGTTCCAATGTTTATCATTATACTATGCCAACATTTGCTCATAAATTTTCAACAGAATTAAATTTAGGCCTTATTTTTTGTAAAGAAACTATTTTAGTCGTAGATGATTTGAATGCAGAAGATAAACATATAAAACCTATTATTAGAGATATTATAGATAAGACTGAGAGTTTGGGGAAAAATATAACTATTATTCTAGTTTACTCTTGTGATAATATGTATAGTAAATTTGTGAAAGCATGCAATAAATCATTTCTCACAGGACTGCAACAAGTGTTTGGTAATGTTAAAGCATTAAAAATTTTTATAAGATATAAGCCATTAAATGAAGAACATTTGAAGAAATGTATTGAAAATGAATTAGTTAATAGTCAAATTAGTAATGTTGATGTTAATATGGTTATGAAAAATTTTAATGTGGCACATGATGGGTGTAAAGGTGTTTACACAAAAGTTAAATCACTGAAAATAGTTTGAAAGTAAGATATAGTTATATATTCTCAAATAAAAATAAATTGTAATGTATGTAGGTAAATCATGTTGTGGTGAAAGCGTAAGAGAATCCATCACCCTAATTTGACAATATTATGGGTAAATATTCACCTAAACATTTGGCAGCTTTGGAAAATGAAGCTATGGTTTTAACCTGAAATTTATTTAGAAATCTTTATCTTCAAGTGATTGACCAACAGGATGTAACTGAAACTTTAATTCGGGCGATGGAAATAAATGGCAGCAACAAGATATTGTTTTTGTATGGTGGAACTGATGTAGGCAAATCATTCTCAAAATCTCCGTCAAAATGCCTAAAATATCATATGGCTTCTGATAACTATCTCATTTCAGTTAGTTTTTAAATACTTGCTGACAGGCAATAATGTAAGATGTGTGATATATAGGAATAATAAATACCTTCCAACTCGTATTTCAAATAATGTACACATAAAATTATTTTATTGTACGTAATATTATGCAAGGTTTAGAATTTCTAATGTAAGTGTAATTTTTTTTAATGAGAAATAAAGACATTTTAAATGTCATATTATATGAACTTGTTATTAAAACTAAATATTATTACTCCATTTAAGAAATAGGCTTGTTTTAATATAGTCAGATATTTTATTTTATATCATAAAATTATAAATAAAGTAATATTTAAGTAGATTAAAATAATTTGGTATAATTTCAATAAGTAGTTGGTCAGATTAACAACCAGTATAGAACAAAGGGTATATTGCTGCTTCGCTGCAGAAACAGAGGGTGGTGTTAAACAAGGTGGAGACTTAGGGGAAAGAAGGGTCTACTACCTAAAAACCTTAATAACTCAGAAACCTTGACTCAGATGAGCTACTTTTAAAAACAATTAAAATTTCTGTGACTTGCTTGTTATATGTATGGGGAAAGCTTATGTTCAGCAATGGACTTGTGATGGGCGGTAGTAGTAGCGTGAATTGTTATTATTTTTTGTTTGTAACATATTCACTATCTACAATAAGAATAAAAATTGTGGGGAGCTTATATATATATATATACTAGCAATAAAAAGTTTTGAGTGTCATTTATTGGGATAAAAACTAGCCTATCTCTCAAGTTGGACCAAAATGCAACAACGTGACACATAATTTATATATATATATAAGCTCCCTACAATTTTTATTGTTGTATATATATATATTAATGCTTCTTTACTGACTGCTCCAAAGAAGAAGGAAAAAAGGACAGAAACTTACAGTTTTATGTAGGTATGTGTGTTTATCTGTTCTTTGTGATCTTCTGTAACCTAAACTGCTTAATGAATTTTGAAGTGTTGTTAGATTAATCTTTATCTTTGTAGAATAACAGGTAACCTACAGTCCCTGGCCAAATTATTAGACGCACTGTAGTTTTTTAATAATTATATGTTGTGCACGAGTTTATATGGCATACTTTTATATTTAAATATACATTTAATGTGTTTTCATTCAGGAGATGTTTTATATATTACCTATTTGAATTTATTTTAAATGTATTGCATTAAAATGATAACCAAATGACACACGAACGTAAACAAGAACAAATCCGTTTCAATGGCGTTCTCGCGTGCTTTAGTTGTGGACGTGTTTCTGTGGCTTTATGCGCTGTATTTATTTGTTTAGCAGTTTTATACTACGCAGTTGTTTGTTTACTTAGTGTACAGTGTTTAAATAATCAATTGGAACATTTTAATCATGGGTAAAAAAGGCGATCTTTCATCTCGTAAAAAAAGCTGAAGTAAGGGCCCTCGTAAATGCTAAATTGTTATTCTAACCACGAAATATCACGGAGATTGCAGGTTTTTGAAGCTAGCGTACGACGCATAAACAAGAAAATTGAGTCAGGAGACGAATTGAGCCCGAAACAAAAGAAATGATGCGGCAGAAAGCCTATTTTTACTCCAAAGACAGAAAGATGTTGTTAGAAAAGTTTGCCTGGAAAACAGATTTGCAAGCACAAAACTGATAAAATCGCAACTCCAAGATGCTAATGGGGATGTTTTTGAGCGCACTATTCAAACAAAATTAAAAGATTTAGATTTTACGACCTGCCGCCCCGCCAGGAAGCTCAAGTTAACAGCAGCAATGACAACAAAGCATCTGAAGTGGGCCAAACAGTGGCGTGATAAAGGTGAGGACTTCTGGAGATCGGTAAGTTAGTATAATTTCATCATAAATGATACATTTAATATCATTTTCTATGAAATAAAGAAAAACCAGCACAGATGTTTAGGATGTTTATTAATTTTTACTATTCTTAACAGGTCTGCTTCTGCGATGAAAGCACGTTTGAAATTTTGCGGAATAAAGCTTTGTTTGTGCGTCGTCGTCATGGAGAAAAATTTCATCCTGACTGTGCCGTTCAGACTCTTAAGCACCCTACTAAAGTGATGATCTGGTCAGTCATCAGCAGCAAGGGTCATGAGGCAAGAACAAAGAAGTCTTACAAAATCGATTGATTCCGCAGCTCAGAGAATGGTTTTCGAATGGGAAACCATTCAGTTTTATGTAAGATGGAGCTCCCTGTCACACAGCACTGTCTGTTAGGGTTTTTTTTGGAAGAGCAAAATATCCCTCTGTTGGATTGATCGGGTAATAGTCCCGATATGAATCCTATTGAAAATGTGTGGGGGCTGATGAAGAGAGAAGTGGCTAAAGATGTCATCACAAACAAAACTCAACTCTTAGAAAAGATTATTCATGTGTGGAATCATCATCCTCAAACGCAGGAGACAGTACAGTCTAACAGTTGATAGCATGTCGCGCAGAATTGAAGCTCTCATAGCGGCTAAAAGTGGCTCAACAAAATATTAACATTCTTTTGCATTCATTTAAAATTTTTTCAAGAGTTTATAAATACATATTTTTATATGATTATGATGTTTTATTTGTGTTATAAACAGATAATAAGATGAATAATAAAAAAAATTACATTGCATCTAGTAAAAACAATAACGCCGTATAGTATAACCTGAGAATTAAGATTTTACATATAATCTTATAGTGCGTCTAATAATATGGCCAGGGACTGTATGTATATTATATGTAATATTTATTTAATTATTTCTTATATTATATGCTTTCAATTTTAATATAGTGCTTGAATGAAAAATTTTCTGACAATTATATTTTATTAGTTTTTAATAGATCAGTGCAGTTGGATTCTTTGTTTTTTTTACATAATAATTTAGTTTTTAGTTTTTACCAAAACAAGAAAGTAATATGAATGTATATTTAATAAATATAATAATTTAAGAACTTAAGTGTATGTTAATAAAATGAAAATAATCAGATCAAAAGAACTTTATTTTTAAGAATGTTACATGATAATCGGCAATGCAGAGGTTTGAGAAATTAAATTGTATATAAATATATTGACAAATCCTTATTACACCTTTCACATCTTGTAATTATGCTATAAAATAGCTTTCATCCTATTAGAAAACATTGTAAAAATTAATATGGTGCAGTAAATTATGAAATATTCATAGGGTAATATAAAAAAAAACAAAGCCATAAAAATAGAGTAGCTATAAATAGACTGAAATGAATATATTTTCCTAGATTTAAGTACAGCTCACTAAACATTTTTATATTATGTGTCATTCAATTCTTAAACTGCATTTTAAATTATTTAGTTTTTATGGATATTTGCACAGACAATTTCTAGCTGAATGGTCAAAACTTTAATACTAATAAAATGATAAAATTTACTAAGAGTTAATTAAATAAATGGTGTTATTAGTTATAAGAAATAAGTTTGAATACCATATTGCACTGCACCTATACTACTTATGTATTTACTCAACAGAAAACAATTTGTACAAACAAAAATTACAAGAAATCTGTTATTAAGTTAAATAATAACTATATAATAACACTTCTTCAAGTGTCATAATCAAGCATTTATTATTTATAAGTACTATTTTATTAATTAAAACTTATCTGGAACAATTATTGTATTTTCAATAAAGTTCAGCCAATAGACAAATATTTAAAAGTTATGTTAAAAAGCTCCCCTAAATTTAAAAGCCAGCGAGGTAAGTGCATGCAAACAGGGAAATGTGCTATTATATATTATTTGGAGAGCTGCATAAATTTGCTGCTAATTTTTTTATAGTTAAGTTTATTTGAAGTTAAGTAACTATCCCTTTTAAGTCATTGCATGTATTTGGAACACCAATGCGGGAAGACCATTTATAAAAAACTAAGATATTTCTTTGCGAAATTGGTGACAAATATAATTAAGTGGAAACTCGATACTTGTGCACCTGATACAACAATAAATTTATTTCACTTGAGAGAATAAACAATGTTTTATAAATCTTTACTTAAGTAAATAATGCAGATATAGTTATGTGAAATAAAGTAGTAAATCTTATCTGCAATAATAAATAAATTACTTTTTAAAAAATTCATAACAAAAAATCATATCCTTAAAACTGTAACCATTCTTAATTTAACCATTCAGTTAGCCTCTTATTGTTATTAACCTGCACTAAAACTGTACTTAATACATATTTTTAAAATATGAAAAAAGTTAGAACATAATATTATGTGATGTAAAACCATCATAAATATATTAATAGGTATACTGGCTTTAATAAAAACGACTTGTATCATACCAAGAATTAAGGACTGAGAGCATTTGTATATTTTTGAGATTTTGCCCTCAAATATTCTGAAAAATATTAACATGCATTAACTTTAGACCAAGTAATATGTAAAAGTATGAATATAGCTAGTACCTCTAACATTAATTAAATAAATAGACATTCTTTTGTAAGCAAAATTGAAGTTGAAAAACACGCAAACATGCAATGTGAAAATTAATAGATCTATGTACACAAAATATGTATAATAAAAATTAAAACACTGATTAATACTAAATATGCGTAACAATAAGGACTAGAATACATTTTATTTTTAACAGTTATTGGCACTAATTTCAATCATAATGGCACAACTATGTACTTTGAATAATACTGAAAATATAGATATTATTTATCTCGTATGTATTAAATTGTAATCATGTTTACTCTGTAGTAGTTGAATAATTTACAACTAACTCATCATTTCTGAATTACTAAAATTAAGTTTTGCTAACTATGCTAAAATATGTTACAAAATTTGTAAAAACATGATAAATGTCCTTTATATCTAATTATACATCTAATAAATACCAAGTTATATTAGCAGACATAGGTATGTAGTTGCCTCCATTTTTACAAGAGACTGTGCAAAATTATAAAACCACTTTTGCGTAGTAATTCTAGTCATGAATCTTACGATTTTAATTATTTTCAGACTTGAATAAAGAAAGAATTATATAATCTGCCTTATAAACTTGAATATAATTTCAATAATTTTAACATATTATTGCAAAATCAATGATATAAAAGGAGATACGAGTACCTAATTACAACTATTATACACAAAATGTTTGTTTTTATTTAAGCAAAAGCAGAATAATGTAAATAACAAGATTTAAATCTAAAAATTGACAAAATTGATATAATTCACTTAAAACATTATAACAAATCGCACTAGCTAATACTAAATAGTTGATGTGAACTAATATATTCTATATTTTAAATTTATTTAGAATACTACTAGTTCTTTTAGTATTTGGGTATGTAGTGCCAATAACTGCATTAATAATTACTTTATTCTTACTAACTAGGTATTCGATAACAAATAGAACACCCTTTTTAAGCACGACAAAACATTCATAGTTTAAATGTAGAGAGACTTATTGAGAAAATGTGCTAATAACTCTAAATCTTGAAAAATTCTGCAGATTTCAGTATAGCTTTTATGACGTAGATTCACTCATGTCAGATCCGATGATTTCTTGAGATTTTTTCCAAGGTAATAATAAGAAACTACCTTCGATGGAACATTAATTCGATTGTGGCGGAGATCAGGATTTTTTATATTCTATTAATAATAAACTAGCTTCAAGCACAGGATATTACAACGGTATCACATTTTAGCCACATTCCTTATGCTTTTTGTTTGGATTTTTACTATTATACGATTAAGAAATAGTAGCTTTTGAATTGTTTACAATGACGTAGATCTTTATCTAAATGTAACTTAAGATTACAAAAGATTCTATTAAAATTCGTGTAATTTTCATAGCGGAAATGGATATCAAGTTTGAATTATAATCTTATATAGTTGCCATTGGTAGTTTTAACGAATTATTCATCGCCATGAAAAGTGACAATCGTTTTAATGGTTTCACCATTACACAGCGCTTGTTTTGCAGCACTTTTCATTAATGGCAACTTAAAATGGCAAGGGACTAGTTAGGAGCGATGAAAATGAACAGCTATCCACTTGTTATGGCGTTTGTGCCATATGCGAGTTTCCTGAGATTGGCGAGTTTCACGTCGTCCTTCGGCATCAACACTTTGCGTTAAACAGACGTAAGCTATAACTGCTACATCGTCACCAAGCAAATGCACCCTCGGGTTTAAAATTGTCGTATTTGTCTTAACGTGTGTAGGAGTATTATCAATAAAGAATTTGTGGAATTCCACCCCTTCCACCAAATTCCCTAATGCATCGGGATCAAACGCAGTTACATTAGGATCACAGAGTTTAGAATAAGTATCATAATCACCGTTATTTACGGCATCTATAAGCACTTCAGTAACTTTTATCACTTCCGCACGACGTAATGATGCGTTGCTATCACCACGAGTTTTTCCAAATGAGTCTGCTTTAGTAAGCCCTTCTTCTTCATGGTCCTTAGATATGACTGTACACGCTCTATCAACGCCTTTCTTATCTTTATCTAAATCATCATCCTCCAAAGTTGTACTACTATCAGTCGATTCCTTTACTTGTGATCCATCGCCTTTTTTGTTGACCATGGATTTTCCAGAGAAGTTTCGAGTGGCAAGCATAGTTGTCAAAATGGCTCCTTTCAATTTGCGACGAGCATTAAACTTCTTCAAACAGTCCACTGTCTCCTGTCTATGCATAACAGAAGCAACACGTTCGCGGTGACATATCCACGGATGCTTAAGAGCTTCAGAAGCTGTGATTCTTTTGCTTGGATTCACAGTTAACATTTGGTTTATAAGACTTTTCGCTTCAGGCGTTACTGTATCCCATTCAGGTGATGGGTAATCGTATGCTCCAGCTTTAATCTGTCCATATAATCGGTGTTGATCTTCGTCCCAAAATGGTGGATACCCAACGAGCAATATATATAAAATGACTCCACACGCCCAAATGTCCACAGGTTTACCATATGGTTCTTTCTTTAGTACTTCAGGTGACAGGTAACCTGGGGTACCAGCAAAACCAAACCATGCTTGTTGATCACCTTGTACTTCAATGGCTAAACCGAAATCAGCAAGTTTAACAGCAGCACCCTTTGCTTTGCTTGCAAGCAATAAATTTTCCGGTTTGAGATCTCTATGAACTACTCCATTGTGATGGCAGTGATGTACAGATTCTAAAATTTGCTGAATGCAGTGAGATGCGTCGGCTTCAGAATAAAACTCCCGAGCTACAATATCTTCAAACAATTCTCCGCCAGTTACTAAATCAAAAACGAGGTAGTGAAAATGTTCTTCTTGAATAGAATCATGAAGTCTTACAATATTAGGATGCTGTAATTTTCGGCAAATTCGGGCTTCGCGCTCCAACTTCTGAAAATCTCTAGCCGAAAGTTTTTTGGTGTTGATAATTTTAGCTGCAAATTCAAACCCTGTCGATTTCTGAACAGCACGTCTTACTATTGAAAATGCTCCTTTTCCTAATTCTTCTTTAAGATCATAATTATCCGAAAAACGAGTGCTAACACTTTCACGATTTGGATTAGCCATTTTAGTAGAGTTATCTTACTTACTTTACCTGCTTACAATTTGCAACTTACAGCGTAATTTTGAGCACGGATCTATCTCTTCTTGAAAGCGTCTGCAACAATATACAAAATGGTTGAATGTAGAAAATGAAAATATTGTTTTATAAAACTATATAATACTTGTGTGCGCTAAGTAATGGCGGCGTTAGAATATTCATTAACCCATTTAATTTGTTTGTGTCGTAAGAGGCGCAGAAGGAAACTGAAACAGGAGATGGTGACACAAACACAGTCACAGAAGATGCTACTGCATCTTTCTGATAACAACCGAATATAAAAATCAGGTTGCCAAACCGCCAGCCAAGCGTGGCAATTATGGCAAAACTATGAGAAATATAAAAGAGTTGCCTTATGTTCAGCGATGGACTGTAATGAATTAATGAAAATATGAAATATGCATAAATTAAAAATAAATAATTTCAACTATAATTGGGCTCGTCATGGTAACACCTACATAAATTGATGCCTAAGAGTTACAAATTTTTGTTATCATTGAAAATTATGGATTTCAAAATTACTTAAATCTTTATTAAAAAGATAACCATTATATATGGCAAGACAAAAAAATAAAATATTTTATTCACTATTTCGGTCACCGATTCTAATTCGCTGTCAGCAAGCTGAATTTAAAACGCGTAGATGCCTAGACAATAGTATCGTGAACACAAACGTAGACTTCTAATATTAACACTACGGCACCGGGATGACATTTCGTTAGCGCAAAATAATCGATACACCATCGTCTTACCACATTTAACGTAGCTCGAAGATATCTATTATTCAGTATTCACATGAAAATATTAAATGTTGAAATAAATCCAATAAGTATCTTCCTTACTAATAAATGTCACATCAATTATTCAAAAATAACACTGCTTTTATATTAAAGTAGTCGAAGATGTTACAGTACGCGACATTCGACGATATTCTTAGCATAAATAACTAGCACGGCCAATTCAGGATATTATTTTTATTTTTAACAAAAACGTCAATTAGAGCAAAGATCTACAATATCTTAATACTTTTTTGTTAATAAATATTTATTTACCTATTATGTGCCCATTTTACACAATATTAATTCGATGAAGATCAAAAACTAAGGGCCTGGCCCTGCACCACACTCTCCTGCTCCGGACACGAGCATCGAGGTCAAATTCATAGACATTTGTGAGTTGCCAGGACAGCGCAACTAGAATTATATTTTTATCGACGCGACGCCTTAACTAGCGCTATTATATGTAAATGCAATATAATTTATTAAGAAATCTTATTTTTATAACAGTTATTATTAGATATCTTATATCTTTACCGCCTAAATATTTATTTGTATTAGTTAAAGAAAATATATTTTTGCTCGTGTAAATACTGAGCAGTGGACGTAAAATCGATAATTTAGCGCAGCGGCAAACCAAAGAGAATGTTATCAAAACAGCGTTCATAGTGCCATCTAGCGATATCAGCGATAAACTAGATTTTACTGAACTATTATTTCGTACTTATTATTAGTTTAAAATAAGTAAATATTAATAAATATTATAACGTACGGTTGTTTAATGTTTGTTAATTAATTATATTATTATTTCAAATATGTCTTAAAAATATTGGTATAATTAGCCCGTCATTGCTTCCGCGAGGCGCCTATGAGTATCCAGTCAAGAAAAAAAATTGGATTAAGATGAAGTTGAAAAACAATTAATTATAATTTATTAATTTCCCATTTGGAGGTTATTGTCTGAATAGCCCCAAACCAGTTAGTTATCCGATTCGTTGCGGCACCAATTTTCGACAAATTTTAGCTGTGGCGGTGTTAACAAATGTTTCATGACACGCCGGGCGTCTCAAGCGCCACAGACATTGTATTGTGCCATCCACCATGTGTAAAAGTAATGTTCTTTTTTATGGTTTTTTTACTTGTTTAGACCTAATTAAGTTTATTTGACATCAAACATAAGTTACAAATGGAAAGATACTTGTTATTAGTGGGTAACTACGTGTTTTTTTACGCGTTTTCTTTGAAATTGAGAGAAAGTGACTTTTTTATGAAGAGATTACAAACCTTTTGTACTATTTTTTGTTGTTATAAAAAATCATTTATATAAGTAGGTACAGCTAAATCAGCCTGGAAACCTTGGTTTTTATTAAATTAAATTTTCACCTAATAATAACATTTGTATATATCAAACAATAAAGAACCTAAATTTAAAAAAAAAGGTATATCATTCATTGATATTTACAAATGTTAAATATTATTTAATGTTATACAAATGTAAAAGTAAAGTCGATCTGAAAACGTAAGAATAACAACTAATTACTAAGAATAGCAAAACAAGTGTTTTCAAAAGGAAAAAAACGCCGGCGCTATACGGCGGCGGATTGATAAAAGACTATTTATTAGCGAACTTTTTTTATGCATGAACGGTTTAGAACTGTTTCAAGCAAAAATAAACCTTATACCATATCACAAGAGCACATGGTACTTCGTAGGTCTATTCGGCCATATGATAGTAATAAAACGGCAGTTCAACCATTTTAAGCAAAATTAAACAATAAGACAAACGCATTGTTTTTTCTAACAGGAGACTTGTTTTCCAGAAATTTATTTACAACTTGAGTTTGTGAGCGATCGCAATGAGTGCTATTATTTGTTACTTATTAGACAATTTTTCCATAGCATGATTTAAAACCCATAAAGTAAAAATAGTACCATGTACACGTTACAAAAAAGGTTGTCAACCCCTTTTCGAAATATCCAGAAACGAAGCTGCATGCATGAACTACTCGCAAAATAATGAATATTTTGTTCTGGATAAATTTTCCAAAAAAGAGATTTGAGCGAGTTATAACGATTTTTAAAAAGACACGCCTGGTGTGTCACCCGCACTGAACCGGTTATCTTGTTATATGTTGTCTGTACCGATTTCATTCGCCGCTTCGATAATTGCATAAGGAATTAAAAGCTTGGACTTTACTTCTATCCCACATTAATGGTAAATGATGATACAGCCGAAGATTATAAAACTCACTGACTTAGCTAAACGAAAGCCTATTCACTGTTCCCTTGAAGGCATTGACATTATAATCGGATGGAGAGGCAGATGCTAACAAATTATTCCACTCCGAATAATATGTGTGAATCTCATAGCGCATATGGTTAAAGCTTCTCTTTCGGACTGGATTTGTTTGTCATCCTTTATATGATATCTCGTCACACCTGAGCTGTTATCTGCGTACCCATAGATACTGGCCATAAGCAGCTCATTAATATTATATAGCAAGAAGAGAGCTGCGGAGGGAACGGGACCCTGAGGAACTCCGACATTAGTTGTCGACTCAGAAGACCAACCTTCGACAACGTCTCGGAAAGACCGAGAGATTCGGAAAGACCGAGGGACTACACTGGCAATATACCCACTCCACTCTACTATGGTCTGGAGAGTTTTGCGACAATACGTTTAATACGGTTGAAACTAGCTCTGCAATGTTGTTTTTTAAGACTCGCTGGCCATGTTGAAAGCCCGCTTCTAAAAGCTGATAAAAAGCTCCAGATAGCTTTGCGGTCTCGACCGACAATCCACGAGAAATGCGCCAAATTCTCGCGCTTTTCAGCTTGGGCACATTCGGCGTTACACAGGCGAGCTATCTCATGGGTACATCAGAAAAGGGGATGAAACTCTATCGCTTGACGCACCACATCGTTTAGATATAGCTACGTGCAGCTCGATAGATCCACACAAGAGAAGCAGACCTCCCACCAAGGATAGGATGCAAAAAAGTGCTGCATCTCATCACCGATGCTGATGCACCAAACTGCTGACTTATACCGCCGTATTCGTCAACCACCGGGAATCGTATTTAGGTGGGAACTATGATGATACAGATTTCACCAGAGAGTGGTAAGAATTACCCTACGGCGAGGTACTCTGTATGTTATACCTTCTGCTGAATATCAATCCAGACAGCGTTTTGTAGTTAGCAGAATCTCTAGGGAGTTGGCTGTGTGTCCATCTACAAGGGTAACCTAGTCACTTGCTTTACCAGCTGTGAAAGGCCTAGGGACCGGCAAAATTCCACGCCTCTCTGCCAGCATAGTCGGTCTTCTAGTACGGAAACAGCTTGTTCTTGTTGACAAGCGTTAAAGACCTCCAAGAAGACCAGCTGCTCAGTAGGGTACCGATTAAGGGGCACATCAGCAGCCTCACTTAATTGTTCAAATAACCGAGTTGCCTCCAGGTCACCGCTGTGTGATCGATAGCCACAAGCATAAAGGCCCTTTTCTCATAAAGCGTAAAGTATTTTTCAATACCCGTGGCTACCATCACGTATATAGTCGAATACGTGGGGACTTCAAGTTGACGGAGACGTTGGTAGAGAAGTTATTGTGAACGCACACACAGATTCCGGCATGTGAGTGGAATTTGTCCTTAAGGAGGAATCCAAGATATTCTAGGGCCTAGATCAACCGGCATCCTATTTTTGTCTTCATCAAGAAAAGTAGGTGCGGCTTCTCAGTCCCAAAATAATGATGGACTGAGATGCGCTTTTAATGAGAGGACGTGCAACCGCTGTTTAACCCTACTTTTGCAGAACTTTTCATGAGTAAAGAGTGAATAAAGATGGAAAATGGCAGTAGACCGTGCCATTGCTTTGATAACCCAGAACTATTGTTATGCTCCTATGGAAGCTTAATCTGGAGACTAAATAAACCCCAATAGAGATCGCTATCGGGTCCTCACATTCGGTCGCTAACCAGTACGATGCAGCCACCCTGGGATTTTTCGCCAGTTGGCTGTGCAGCCTCTCGCGAGTAGCTAGCTCATCAATTGGGCCCTAATACCGGCTATCGTATAGCAGAACACCTTGTTTCGCATCTCGCTACCCTCTGTGACTAAGCACCAGACACAGCAGCAACTGATGCGTCGCACATCGCGCACACGTAACGCTGCTGTTTAGGCCCATCCCCCA